CACGAAAGTTTTGCACAAATCTGTAATGGAAACGCTCCTACTGTTGTCTCTTACTCACCTTAAGTGCCCTCCTCAATCATTCTTAACACAACAGGATTCATGTGTTGGCACCTCACTTAACTGTGGTGATTAATTCACTAGCTCCAGAGAAAGCTCCATGTGTTGTGCTTGAATGCGTCACTGAACTAGGAACATTAAGATCTCAACTCCATCAACCATCTGATGCACTTAGCAGAAGCCATCGTCAGCCTTAACTTTATAAAAGTTTTCTGAAGACCTAACAAGAAGGAAAATACAACCAAAATATAAGATGATACAATGTAGACACTATTAGTTGAACAAACAGATCTCGCCTGAGGTTGAGCCTACATTGCTGTCTCAAGCTGGTCAGGATGTTCAAACAAACAGAGTAATGTTGTGATAGTGCCAAAAGGGCCAGTGTTTACACTTCTGAGGGAAATCATATCATGAATGATTTACTTAGTTGTCTCTGCATAAAAGCAGTTTATCACTTGTCTTCTATTAATTAACTAACAACATAACAAAAATAATATTATTTATTATTATTATTATTTATTTATTTTATTTTTGCACTTCTGCTAGAATAGCTACTGTAAATATATTTGGGAAGCACAGACAAAACTTTTGGACAATACACATACAGTGCAAGTATATAATAACTAACAGCTAATAATATCATTCATGTATATATAAAATAAACACAAGCATGTATGTATTTAAGAAAAATATGTTACGTTTATATACTAAATATATTTATATGAATATAAATATATACATACAAATATTTTCAAAATATATGCTGTGTGTCTTTATATATACATAATAAATATACACAGTACACACACATATTATGTAAACAAAAACTTTTATTTTGGATGTGATTAATCACAATTAATTGTTTGACAGCACTAATATATACACATCATAACCGGTTGAGAGTGAGACAGACTTCAAATTCAGCTGAAGTATCTGTCATTCTAATATGTTTTATCACGACCCTATGAGTCAAACAGCTCTGAGCCACAGCAGGTGTGAATGAGTGAGTACGTTTGAGAGGTAATGTTTGTGGATCACAAATCATAATCAAGATTATTAACGTACCTGCTTTTCAGCAAATCAGTTATGACTACTGGACGAACAGGGAAGATTAACTGAAAAGAATTCAGCTGACATTTAGTCATCCTCATGTCAACCCGACATGATCCTTGTGGAATTAAACCAAATAAATATCTCAAAGATCACAGAGAAGCTACCAAATCTTTTCTGACTTAAATTAAAGAAAGCAACATGAAAGGCAAGAAGGGCTTAAAAAGGATCAATCTTTAGGCATATGCCTCCTACTCTTGAGATGAGCCACAGCATTACACATCCCATGAATGTGTTATATGAATGTATTATATGAGTGTGGGCAGTTCTGTACAAAACCAAAGACAGCATCCGAACGCAGCCCCCATTATTTATGAGGGCGGTCAACTACAGTTTAATCAACGTGCTACAATCTCACCTGTATCTCTGGCAGGAACATATGGTGGTGTTGGCATAGAGAGATAAGGATTAGGACAGTTTTTTTAACCTACTTTAGAACTATCTAATCTGCATTCGGCAGGTAGAGCAGGGGATGCATTAGAAAATAGACAGGTAGACAAGTGAAGCCTGTGTGCCTCTTATTGTTGTCAGGCTAGTAGTGCAGGTGTGACAACTTCTCTATTTAAATGCATAAAACTCATTAGAACTCAAATTTCATTACACTAATACCAGTAGGTAATGTTTGATAAGGTTAACAACACTATAGGCTATTCCTATGGTTCACAGTTGTAAAATTCTCTAAACATAAGTATTACACTTTGGCACTTTTTGAATTTGGTTCTGCTCTTATCGAGCCATTTTGCAGATTGCCATCACCATCTTCGTCATTTGTTTTGGTACACCTTGATTTGGTATCATATCTTCTCATCATTAAAAACAAATAAATTGCTGAAAAACAGGATGTGTTTTTACACATAGCCTATATTTTTGTTGGGAAATTTTTCACTGATTTTCATGACGTAAACGCAAGAATAACTTTCGTATTTTAAGTAATATTTTAAGATAAACACACACTGAACAACATAGAGTTATTTGATTATAGACATAATTCGTTTTTTTAATATTGTTCAAATAAGTACAAGCTAGAAAGAGAAGGAATAAATAAAGAGATAGAATTTTTTTTTTATGATCAAGTCAAGTAGCTTCGAAAGAGATGAGTTTTCAGCTGTCGCTTGAAAATTGTCAGGGATTCAGTATTCCGGATAGGGGTGGGAAGATCGTTCCACCAGCCAGGAATTATCATGAAAGGAATTATCATTTCAATTATTTTGAAAAAAGATCCCTCAGGTTTACAGCAGCTGTGTGAAGGTTACAGTGTTTCCCTCATCAAAAATTCATTTTTTCTGAAAGGGCAGTAAAAGGGCAAGGGCAGTCCCTGGGTGTTTCAGCGTGAAACAGGCAGCGATAACCAGTCTCCTCCCAGTAATGCTACTCAGACCTCCAGGTGAAAAGCAATCAAAAAAAGCTTCACTCTTCACTCTACAGTACAGCAAAGCACCAAAACATGTCAGTTATCAAAGGCACAAATTGCTGTGTATGACTTGTTCATTAACATCTACATAATAAAAATCAAATCCAAAAAACGAGCTGCCTTTATTTGATTGACTGTGAAGACTAAAAGTGAAGACTTTTGAAAAGTGAATACATTTGCATATATTGACAATTGCATTAGCTGAAATACTGACAGTTCAAATGTGTCTCTAAATGTATCTATTGTTATGGAGCACAATACTGCTCCATGGATCAAAGAGCGACCAATTCAGCCATCCAAAGCAAATGGGGGTTATTTTAGAAACCGTTCTAAATAATATAAATTCAGAACTCTTGTCTCAAAATTGTTTCTCTCTATGAAAATGTCTTCAATTCAACAATACTGCCAGTGTTTCATTCTACAAAGTCATTTCCAGATGATTTTTTTTGTAATGCAAGTTCATAATACCTTTACTATAGCATTGTAAAAAGTAAACATTACTTAGAAAAGAATAAATACAACTGTAAACATTACAAAGAATTTGCATAAAATCTAAATGTATTCACTTCATGAAGAGATAATACATTAAGCAAAAATTAATTGTTTTATTAAAAGAGCGCTATTCCCATGCTGTAAGAGACTTTCAGAATTAAAGTAATAATACTATGCATTGTGTACATTGCTGTTTGACATGTTTCAAAACTTAAAGTGAGTGACAGCATCTGCCAAGGCAACAGCAGAATGTCTGGGTATTAAAGGGATAGTTCACCCAACAATGAAAATTCATTGGTGGTTGCCATTGACTATTTTTTTTCCTACTATGGAAGTCAATGGCAACACCAACTGTTTGATTACCAGCAATCTTCAAAATATCTTATTTTGTGTTCAACATAAGAAAGCAACTCATACAGGTTTGGAACGACATGCGGGTGAGTAAATGATGACAGAATTTAAATTTTTGTGTGAACTATCCCTTTAAGGTCGTAAAGTTCACTCTTTTTTAATGATTTGATTCAGGAACCGATTCAGTGATTCATTCCAGAATTCGGGGTGATTGTGATTGTTTTAATGTCAACCGTATTTCTGGTTCTTAAAAAAACGAACGCTTTGTTTGAGGTACTCATGTTACCAACACGTTTTGCAGTGTCCCAGGATAAATCAATTTTACAAACAAAATAACCAAATATCAGTTACTACCATTTTAATTACAGCAAACCTAACTGTGCTCCCAATCAACAGACACAAATTAAAACCAACATAAGATCAGTCGATTACTTAAACTCGGTTCAGATTGATTCAGTCCTATTTGCGATTCGGTTCGAATGATTCTTTCCAAAGAACCGAAACAGACATATGAATTATCGCTCGCAGCTTTCTCGCTTTGTTCTCTCCTGCGCAGCGCACAGATGGGAAGTGAAACTCAAAACCCCCCAAAAGACGGATATGATGATTCTATTTGTATAGACATGTTTTAGAAATTTGTTCATAAAACGCATAAACAAAATAAAAGATGCAGATGTCGAGCATCCTTTTTATGCCACAAGGCTGACAAAGAAACATGATGTTGGGAGTCGTGCAAGCACAAAGGGATGCAAACAGTTTTTTTTCCATCTTCAAAGACTGACATTACAAAATGTATCTTCAATAAAATAATTACACGCATATTGAAAGCGTGTGTCGTTAGGCATGATTTAATCTACTATCCTAGTCTAAAACATTGGGGTTGGTGATTTTTTTATGCCCACATCGTTAAATATTTTTGCAATTAACGCACATACTGTAGAAGTGTACATGCATGAATGCCAAAGTGACCACTCGAAATTGATGTCAACACCTCAACAACAGAGACACTAAATGGAAATGGAAGAAATGCCACTGTCTATACTCACGTATGGGCGCAGCTTGCGATGCTGACAGGATTGTGGTACACCTCCAGACAGATGGGAAGTGAAACTCAAAACCCCCCAAAAGACGGATATGATGATTCTATTTGTATAGACATGTTTTAGAAATTTGTTCATAAAACGCATAAACAAAATAAAAGATGCAGATGTCGAGCATCCTTTTTATGCCACAAGGCTGACAAAGAAACATGATGTTGGGAGTCGTGCAAGCACAAAGGGATGCAAACAGTTTTTTTTCCATCTTCAAAGACTGACATTACAAAATGTATCTTCAATAAAATAATTACACGCATATTGAAAGCGTGTGTCGTTAGGCATGATTTAATCTACTATCCTAGTCTAAAACATTGGGGTTGGTGATTTTTTTATGCCCACATCGTTAAATATTTTTGCAATTAACGCACATACTGTAGAAGTGTACATGCATGAATGCCAAAGTGACCACTCGAAATTGATGTTTTGCCTCAACAACAGAGACACTAAATGGAAATGGAAGAAATGCCACTGTCTATACTCACGTATGGGCGCAGCTTGCGATGCTGACAGGTTTGTGGTACACCTCCAGACAGATGGGACAGGAGAACTGGCTCTCCAGGCTTTCCCCAGGTGCGGCTGCTGCGGCTCCATTTTGCTGCTGATGCTGCCTGAGCTGAGCAGCAGACACAAAACTGCGGAACATCGCCATTATGAACACGGACCGCAGGATGAACCACTAATACTGCCGATGCAAATAGGATTCCGTGGTTTTAACGACTGTCTCGCAGGGAAAATGTGATTTACACGACATTAGATACCGCATCTGCGATCTCCAACAGTGTTAGCCAAGGAGAACACGCCGTTGTTCGAAAGAAGTAAACATTACATGGTAGCTTTAACGGAACGGTCTCGATCCGATTAGACCAGCAAAAATGATGGGAGTTGTAGTGTTTACTGCGATCATTTACAGCGAGTGACTGTTTAATAGAACTACATTTCCCATACATTGCATTCATAAGAATTCCATGAGCATAGCTAGATGACGTCAACATGAACGTAGCGAATATGACACATAGGTCTACGTTGTCAATAATAATACAAAAATAGGAATGAATATTATTTTATATGATAAAAAAAGTGATAAAATTAGAATATTTTGAACATTAAAACGCTAACCCTTTATTAAAGTCAGACGATGCATACTCTAACTTACAGCTAAAATATAATTAAACAATTTATAAAATATAATATTAACAACAACAACACGTATTTTTTTATATTAGAATGATATAGGAATTTCATACGAATGATATGACAGTTTTAATGTCAATAAACAAAAGAAATAATTTTACAAATTTCAGAATATTTAAAAATGCATTAAATAATAAGAAGAAAAACTTCACATAAGACCCAGTGCGCTTGCTTTGCTGTCCGTCAACATGAACGTAGCGAATATGACACATAGGTCTACGTTGTCAATAATAATACAAAAATAGGAATGAATATTATTTTATATGATAAAAAAAGTGATAAAATTAGAATATTTTGAACATTAAAACGCTAACCCTTTATTAAAGTCAGACGATGCATACTCTAACTTACAGCTAAAATATAATTAAACAATTTATAAAATATAATATTAACAACAACAACACGTATTTTTTTATATTAGAATGATATAGGAATTTCATACGAATGATATGACAGTTTTAATGTCAATAAACAAAAGAAATAATTTTACAAATTTCAGAATATTTAAAAATGCATAAGAAGAAAAACTTCACATAAGACCCAGTGCGCTTGCTTTGCTGTCTAACTCAAGAAGTTTGTGTATGTGTATGGAATTTACCAATAATTACACAGAAAATAAACATAACGCATTAAGAAAACAGATAACATTAAAACATTAATGTCAGGCGATGTGAAAATTAAACATCAAAATAGCGTTAATAACATTGAAGTAATCAAACGACGCAAACATGTGGGCGTGGTCACCGAGCGTCATCAAAAGGGGTCAGGAAAATGCAGTGCTGTAGGCACGCGCGCGCCAATGTGTGTCAGTTAAACGGTTCCTTTGAATAAGTATTGAGAGAATTGCACGCTTCTAAACGGGCTGGAGAAAAGCACCGTATGGTTGGACACGTTTTGTCTCTTAGTTTGTGAATTTGAAGCGGTCATGTGTCAAGTTGAAGAAGACTATAATGGTCTGGAGTGTAACCAGGAGAAGATACCTGTGCCGACGTAAGCTGCATTGAACAACCTCTGTGTGACAACAAATAATTAAGAAGCTAATTAAGAATGGTTTTACAATGTTTTGGACATCTATGGTAATTATTGTACTATTATATCGTTGCGGATATGACTCCATAATTGTACCAACACCACAGTACCTTGTTGTAAACATAATGTGCATAACGTTAGTGTACTATGGTGCTATGGCGGTACTTTGACACACGGCATCATGTTCTTGCACATTAATATGGTACTAAAAGAATACTATAGCACTACAGTGATTCATATTTTTTTGTTTGTTCTTATTGACAAATTGAACAAACTCCTATATGTGTGACACATGTTTAGGCTTAACAGGAAGTGTATGAAATGTAAGGAGGGAACTGCTGTGCTCATCATTCGGGTCAATGATGCATTTTGCCGGTAGGCGATTAATTAATCTTCTCAATGTGTCACTTACACTTAATTATGTGATTCAGCCTTATCAAAAACTTGATCTATCTGCTTACTAGGTCGTGCTTTAAGGAGTACTTCATACACAAGTTTCGGGCCATGCTGGGAAAGAATCGTGTCATCTTTCCCCAGGAGAAGGTAAATATATATATATATATATATATGCATGCATACATACATACAGTGCACCGCATAAATGAGTACACCCCCTCTGAATAAATATAAAAGATGTATTTTCTTAATGATCACTAATATAATTCATGGAAAGATGGCACAATTGAAACATAGTAAACATATCCTTAATAAAAACAACAAAATATATGCCAATATTTTCTGTAAGATGAGTAAATTAGCCAATTTTGTTTAAATGAAGGATTGCAGAAATGAGTACACCCTAGATTTAATTCGGAAAATGTATAATATTCTAGTACTTCGTATGTCCTCCAGAACTTAAAGTATACTGCCCTGACACTTCTTGGCACTGAGTGTACAAGTTCATGACACATTTTCACATCTGTGCTGTTTTAACTCCTGGAGGACGACCTCCTTAAATGCCCTGGTCTTTAACGGGGAGTGTTGCTCAGCTCGTCTCTACAGAATCTCTCACAGCAGCTCAAGAGCGTTAAGATTGAGTGAAATACATGTCCACTGAAGGATTTTCACCTTGGGAGAATGAATATATTCATTGTCATGCTGAAAAAATGCCCAATAATGCGGGGAATGATTGGAGGATAGCATCTTCTGTTTCAGGTTTTTGTATTACATCACACAGTGGTGTGTGAATTCATGACAGCGCTGGTAAAGCACAACTCCCTCACACCTTCAGCACTCATACATCCCTATTGAAGAGCTTTACTACCACTGAACGTCACTGTGGGTACCAAGCACTTCTCACTGTACTCCTCCTCTAGCAACACCAGAACATTTTGGATGCTTTTGGATCCGAAATGATTGACTTGGTCTCTTGAGACCAGAGTATGAATTCCCAGAAGTCTATATTTTGTAAATATGGGCTCTGGAAGAGGTTAAATGAGTTTATTGTGCTTTGGCTACAGTAGGTAATTCTAGTGGTGGTGACAACCATGTATGTCACTTCTGCAGGCTGCGTCATACTCCTGCTCTTTTTCTAGCAAAAATTCACTCATCACTAAATGAAAACTTAAAGTGAAGACCTGATTATTTCAAGAGCTTATCACAAGTCCATTGTTTTTGAACTTTGGAGCTACTTCTGCTATATTTTCACACTTAAAACAATAATTTGGTTCCACTGCTGCCAGCATTAAGTCTGAGTATGATTCAGTGGGCTATATAACACTCTTAATTTTCAGGAAATTACTTGTCTTTAAAAGTTTTGGTTCAATATACTTACCTGTTGATCAAAAACAGCCTTAAACCTATACACTTTTTTTTTATTAAACTTAATTTTTTAAGTTTTATTAAGTAACTTTCAGGAGGGTGTACTCATTTTTGCAACACAACATTTGGTCACTTTGATAAGAAAATCTTATTTTGCTGAATAATTTTGGCATTCTTCTTTGGTAATTGATCAAGCAAGCTTGTTGGAACATTACATCTCCAAAGAACCCTAACATGTCTTCTAAGTAAAGAGTAATTGCTGAATTTTTAGAGTTTTAGAGGGGGTGTACTCATTTATGCTGTGCACTGTGTGTGTGTGTGTGTATATATATATATATATATATATATATATATGAGAGAGAGATAATAGTCTATTGACCTCCTTAGTTTCAGTGGGTTCCACAGTAATGGAAAACCAGAAAATATCAGCGAAGTATTAATAAATAAATTGATTCGTTTTTTTTCCTTATGTTCTGCTCCAAAATATTTTCACCCCAGGATTTTGTTTGGAGCTGCAGCAATGTTTAGTTTATTTTCAATGAATCAGTTCCTGGTTCATAAAATGTTCGAATGACTCATTAGCAAATCAGACGAATCAAGATGTTTTTTTAAAAATCCTAATCCAGTAATGACTGAAATTTTTATATATTTTTTTCTGGTGCCCAAAACTGTAATTACTACAAGATTCTAATAAGCCTGGTAGGAGACAAAGTGATGATGATTAAGAATTAGCAGGGCTTATTAAATAATTTTCATCTGAAATTCATCTTTGCTTTGTCTAGACTTTGTGCAAACTTTGTCTGAACTGGACTTCATCCTGTATTTTGTCTATCCAGCACAAATTTAAAAAGTGTTATTTTACCATAATAATTTTACAATAATTACATTTATCAACTGTTGCAAGCATCGCAAGAGCATGGAAATAATAATTAATCTAAAATATAATAAAAATTACATAAATGCTTAATAAATGATTTAATAAAAAAGCATAAAGAACATAAAACACAACACGCATGGTTTCTCTCGATGCGATCCTTCAACATCTACACTGACTGCTCATCTCCTCAGTTTCACTTGAACAACTTAAATGAATTGTTTGTTCACTGACCTTTACACGAATTGCTCTTCTTAGGTTCTTCTTGCTGTTTCTGGTGGCGCAGCCTCTTGCTCGATGCTCTCACAAGTTCAAGAGGTAAATACACCATGTTGCTCTCTAGGCATTTTTATAAAACAAACGGGCCGTAGTGTGTGAGGAACATGTTAGCTTGTTTGCTGATTATTCAAAGTGGCCTACCAGCTCTAACAAGCAATTTAAAACAAGTTACCATTTGAGGCTTGGTTCCAGCAGTCTTTATTTCTCTAGTTTTTTAGTTAATTTTTAGATCGTTTAAGTTAAAGGAGAACTGGATCCTCGACTGAGCTTTGTTTCTTCCAAGATTTTTTTTTTATATATATATATATATATATATATATATATATATATATATATATATATATATACTACTATCACGATCATACACTAGTAGATGCACTACTATCATATATTATCAATTCAACTGCACTTACACTATCAGATGAGAACAAAATTTTAACTGAATTGAGCTAGATAATGACACTAACTCTGTAATGTCAGCGTTGCTATTGAAATGAATTTAGCTAAATAATGGCACTGTTTCCTTCTGTAGAGCAGCTTATAGTTGAGTTTTTCATAATTGACAAACATTGCAACATTAACACTGTTATTGAACTGAACTGAATTTACTTGAGCTGAATAATGACCCTGTTGTTGCAGCTGAAATTGAGTTTGTTTCATAATTGATGAAATTAACACTGTTATTTTCCTGTTAATTACTGTGAAGCTGCTTTGACACAATCTGTGTTGTTTAAAGCACTGCATGAATAAATGTGACTTTCTGCTTTCTTTTTTCAGGGGCTGAGTCGGGAGGCTCCCAAAAAGTTCAGATTTGTGCCTGGAATCATATACATTGACGGTAAATCTCTTTGAATTGGACAAATAGGACTGTTTCTCAAATTTATGCTTTTGGCATTAAACTACGATAAATTGTAAATTGTTACATTTGAAGTTGTGCACGCTATTTATTAGATGGCGGAGCTTGTGGCCGAAGTGCAGAGGAGCGGCAGAGGTCTAATGCTCTGCTGAAGAGCATCTTCACAGAGACTGGCTTCACTTACTTTATAGTTTCTCTAGAGCAGGTAAACCGACCGAATGCATTAACAGACTAATTTTCTCAAATCAAATAATCAATCATAACACGATTAGTCCACATCTTAAATGACATGAATCACTTTAGCTGCAGTACTTTCAGGGCATCACTTTGTTGGTTGTGTTTATTTGCAACTCCAGAGAGACTCTGACTGGAGGAATGCTTTGCTCTTGACTGTGTTTTAGGTTTTCAGTCTGCCTACCTCTGTACTGGTGCCTGGCACATCTGATCCAGACCCATCCAATCCCAGCTATAAACAAGCCGTGGATCAGTATATCAAAGAGAAACAGACACTCACAGAAGAGAATGTAGCCAGTGCTGTGGCTCAGCTCAGTATAGCAGACTCTGCATATTCTCCCGAACGCAAGCTGGCATTAGAGAGGCTGTTCTCATCAATGAAGACACTCACAGCCAAAGAGGATATGCTACAGACCTTAAGGTCAGTTTTCAGCAAACTTCTCTATTCTTTTTGCTTTTATTTTCTTTCCTTTTTGAGGTAGTCAGTTATCAAGCACACTCTCTGTAAATCCGATTCGTTTTAGCAAATTGTTTGTTCAGAAAGCTAATTTCACTGAATCAGTTCACAAAACGGATTTTAATATTTGACTATGTAGAAATACCTATTTTTATACAATGTTAAATAATGATTTTGTCACTACGCTTTTAATTTGGTTAATGGTCTTTACTAGTATTAAGTGAAAGTAAATGTATTTGTTCAACTTGCTTTTACACTAATAGAGATCCTTCTTGATTTTGAGGGGCCGTTTACACGACAATGTTTTCAGCCAAAAACAAGAAACTTTTTATGCGTTTTGGGGACTGAAAATGCATGTTTTTGAAAGCGTGTTTCAAAGTGGAAGTTTTTGAAAACGGCACCGTTGTCATTTCCGTGTAAACACCCAAAACTGGAATCTTTGAAAACGGTGATGTCATGCGTAGTACGTGTTAGGTATGTAGACATGCACAGTACGTGTCGATTTTAAAGGCAAGTGCGAACAAACATACACAAAAATGGCGGATTATATGGTACTGTTGTTGCTGCTCAAGAGTTTGCTAACGCTTCTTCTTCAGCAAAGTGTGGATTTACTTCACCAATATTACAACCAACAGCGGAGACACATCATACATAGTCTCAGCCTCAGATGTCACGCTCACGGACCGTTGGCTAAACGTCTGATGCATACGGCACACAAACGTGGAAACACTTCAGGAGTTTCGAAGTCGTCATTGGATTGGTTGAATTATATACGATTTCCGGGAGAAGTGTGTGTCGCGTTCTTTAACGTTCCGCCTGGAAACAAAGATGCCATGACGCCAAACCCCCTCACGAAAGAAGAAAGCCGTCGTGTTTACAACTGTGACGATGAGCGCTTATCAGGATCAACTAAATGCTGGAGTTTCAAAAGTATGTGAAATATTTAAAGTTTGCGGCATAGAATCTTTAAATTACATCCGAGAGTTTTACACACTGGTCTGTTATTGTGGCGACATTTCCACACCCCGAAGCGTGACGCTGAACGAAACGAACTGTTGTTTGACATGTCGGTTAAACGGCCTCATGGGAGGGCCTTGGCCAATGAAAGCTGCCATGGATTCCAGACCTTCAGCCATCAGTCTGAAGGTCTGGCTACGCGAGACTACATCATATAAACTTCCCTACAGGTACTGTTTACTAACACGGTGACAGCACCAACTACTGGCCTGAGTCCTATAAATACAACTCTGAAACCACTTTAAAGTAGCCTTGCCGTTTCAAAGTTGCTAGCCCAGTGCTGCATCAGAAATGTAAATGCACAGTTGCAATGCGATGGAAGTTCTAGCGATTAAACCGTTTTCCACACCAGACACGTCACAGCTGCAGGACACTACTAAATCAATAACAAATCAGAGCCAATCAGAAGACCGTGTTGGCAGGCAGTGTTATACTTGTTTTTTCACATAGAATCCTTGAAGTCATTTTCGAAATCTAAGAAAAATTATCCGTGGTCACTCTCATTATGGCTATTAATGACCTCCGTGAAGTTGGCACCCCATAAAAAGAAATAATCACCAAAACAATGCCATTCGTTTGTGCTGATTTGTGCCAAAAATGAACGTTTGTGCTGGTTTGGTGTTTGAGATATTAAACATTATTTTTTTGACCGTGTGACGTCACTCACCACCCCATGTTGTCCAAATCGCTCCTAAGCAGCACAGTTCGTTTGTGCTCGATTTGTGCTCGTTTGTGCCGTTAAAACAAACACTGTATCTATTTTCCTTCCTTAGATATAACCAAAATATTTTCGGGAGCTGTGACGTCACTCTCCACCCCAGTTCGCTCAGATTTTCGTTGTATCTATTTCCCATCCTCGGAAATAACAAATACAAAACAGGCCAGTGACATCACTCTCCACCCCATGCTGTCCAAACAGGTGCTGTTCGTTTGTGCTGGTTTGTGCCATTAAAAGAAACAATGTAACCATGACCTCTTCTTAAATATAACGGAAACTTTACTCTCCACCCCGTTTAGCGCGGCCGCAGAGTTAAAAAAAATAAAATAAAAATGTGTTCGTGCTGCCTTTAAAATTTTAAGTTTAGTCAGCTCCAAGTTTTCACTAACTTCATATTTCAAGTTGACTAAGCTTAAATTTCAAGGCAGCATTAATTTGAAATGGTGAGAGCGTTTTTTTTAATTTATTTATTTTTTACTGCGAGTCTAATTCGTTTGTGCTTGATTTGTGCCATTAGAACACTGAACACATTCCCCCTAGGAATAACAAATGCTAATTCAGGGGGCTCTCCGTCCATGCCAACGGCTCCGTTCATTTGTGCTAGATGCCGTTAAAATGAACATTCGATTTATTTCGACTCCGTAAAACATTACAAATATCTGGAGGAAAAGTGATGGCATGCAAGCCGCTCATCCAAATTCCGTCTTCTATAGTTTGCAAATCTGCTGGTGTGCAATGTTTTTCTAAGTTTTATTGCCAGTGACTTCATCAAGCACCAAGTCCAAAATTTTCATTTTCTCGGAACAGGCTATTGCTTAATATCACATGTTCGTGTTCTTGTTTGTTGCTATTTAATCTCATTTGTTACAAAAATACAACATAGGACTAAATTAATGGTTTATATTCAAGTAACAAATATCACTGATTCATAAATGCAATAATTTATTCCAAGGTATATAGCCTACTACACAATTATTTGTATCTGTTAAAGCAGACTCTTTAATGTAACAAGGTTACTTTGTATATTTTTATATAGCTAGCAAGTAGCCTGACTTTACCATCGACTGTTTTCTCACTTATTAGCCTATTGTGTTATTATCATTATTATTATGCCAGTGACATCACTCTCCACCCCATGCTGTCCAAACAGGTGCTGTTCGTTTGTGCTGGTTTGTGCCATTAAAAGAAACAATGTAACCATGACCTCTTCTTAAATATAACGGAAACTTTACTCTCCACCCCGTTTAGCGCGGCCGCAGAGTTAAAAAAAATAAAATAAAAATGTGTTCGTGCTGCCTTTAAAATTTTAAGTTTAGTCAGCTCCAAGTTTTCACTAACTTCATATTTCAAGTTGACTAAGCTTAAATTTCAAGGCAGCATTAATTTGAAATGGTGAGAGCGTTTTTTTTAATTTATTTATTTTTTACTGCGAGTCTAATTCGTTTGTGCTTGATTTGTGCCATTAGAACACTGAACACATTCCCCCTAGGAATAACAAATGCTAATTCAGGGGGCTCTCCGTCCATGCCAACGGCTCCGTTCATTTGTGCTAGATGCCGTTAAAATGAACATTCGATTTATTTCGACTCCGTAAAACATTACAAATATCTGGAGGAAAAGTGATGGCATGCAAGCCGCTCATCCAAATTCCGTCTTCTATAGTTTGCAAATCTGCTGGTGTGCAATGTTTTTCTAAGTTTTATTGCCAGTGACTTCATCAAGCACCAAGTCCAAAATTTTCATTTTCTCGGAACAGGCTATTGCTTAATATCACATGTTCGTGTTCTTGTTTGTTGCTATTTAATCTCATTTGTTACAAAAATACAACATAGGACTAAATTAATGGTTTATATTCAAGTAACAAATATCACTGATTCATAAATGCAATAATTTATTCCAAGGTATATAGCCTACTACACAATTATTTGTATCTGTTAAAGCAGACTCTTTAATGTAACAAGGTTACTTTGTATATTTTTATATAGCTAGCAAGTAGCCTGACTTTACCATCGACTGTTTTCTCACTTATTAGCCTATTGTGTTATTATCATTATTATTAGTAGTAGTAGTAGTAGTATTAAGTATTGCATTGAATATATGATTAAATATTTGGAGCATAAACATTACCATGATATTGCTCAGCTGTATTTTCTCTGTATATATTCTGCATGACCATATTCTATATCCCTTATCCTACCCAATACCTAAACTTAACAAATACCTTACTAACTATAAATAAGCAGTAACTTAGTTTGAGGCAAAAGTCGTAGTTAATGGTTTTATCATCATCATCATCATCATCATCAGTGAGAATTGGACCTTAAAATAAAATGTGACCAATAATTTCAATTTACATCAAGATTTTTCCGTCCATGGAGTTACCATGGAATAATTTTCAGCCAGCTAGTCATAATCGCGAAAAAAAACGTTTTGTTTGATACATTTTGCGATAATTACTGGCTAACTGTACATTATCTCTTACTTAAGTGTAGCTAACTTCTCAAAATTTTTACTTGATTATAGTTTAACTACTTTAAATTATGAGTAGATTGACAGGCAGCAACTTCTTTAAAAGTGTGTTTGAAGCACTTTGTGTTTTACTTATTTTTTTTATATAATGACAATGGCTCAGCTGAGTCACCTTCCCCAAGCTTTTTGTGGCACTTTCCTGATGCTTTCATAGTCTTTCCTTGCGTCATGCACTCCTTCACCCCTCCTGTCTCTGATCACTTTTGTGTGACATTAGACTGATTCATCACTGAAGAACTGGATCTCTGAAGTCTGTTTGAGTGTTGAGTCAGACAATCAGTCTCTCTTGGAGCTTAAAGCTTCACTGGATAGAACCGTGAGTGGAGTGATTAGCGACATTTGCCTTCACAATGAATATCACTCTGTGCATTCTCTGAAGCTTTTTTTATCGCCTATAACTAACAGTTAAGAAGACAGTATATGGAGGATATTGCTGTAATGTGTCCTTTTAATATTACGCTCTTCAACTGAAGTGATCTAGAAGAGATGTGTCTGGCTTATCCACTGTGTATTGGGTATTCATTCACAGTGATTTTAGTGATTTAAGTTAAGCAGCTTTTTAAATAGTAATGATGTCTTTGTCCACTTTTTATTTAGACAATTTAGTCTATTTGAACCATGCCAGTTGGTTAGTTTCCCTACCCTTTTTTTCTCTCTCTTTTTCTGTGTTGACAGCGTTAAGAGATTTTATAGAGTTGTCTGGTTTAACCTTGTTAGAAAAATATTAGTTTTAAAATACAAAATCAACGTGTTTGCATCCTTAAATGTGTTAACGGAAGTCGCTATGTGGGATTTTACATTTTAGAACAATATCCCTTATCCTACCCAATACCTAAACTTAACAAATACCTTACTAACTATAAATAAGCAGTAACTTAGTTTGAGGCAAAAGTCGTAGTTAATGGTTTTATCATCATCATCATCATCATCATCAGTGAGAATTGGACCTTAAAATAAAATGTGACCAATAATTTCAATTTACATCAAGATTTTTCCGTCCATGGAGTTACCATGGAATAATTTTCAGCCAGCTAGTCATAATCGCGAAAAAAAACGTTTTGTTTCATACATTTTGCGATAATTACTGGCTAACTGTACATTATCTCTTACTTAAGTGTAGCTAACTTCTCAAAATTTTTACTTGATTATAGTTTAACTACTTTAAATTATGAGTAGATTGACAGGCAGCAACTTCTTTAAAAGTGTGTTTGAAGCACTTTGTGTTTTACTTATTTTTTTTATATAATGACAATGGCTCAGCTGAGTCACCTTCCCCAAGCTTTTTGTGGCACTTTCCTGATGCTTTCATAGTCTTTCCTTGCGTCATGCACTCCTTCACCCCTCCTGTCTCTGATCACTTTTGTGTGACATTAGACTGATTCATCACTGAAGAACTGGATCTCTGAAGTCTGTTTGAGTGTTGAGTCAGACAATCAGTCTCTCTTGGAGCTTAAAGCTTCACTGGATAGAACCGTGAGTGGAGTGATTAGCGACATTTGCCTTCACAATGAATATCACTCTGTGCATTCTCTGAAGCTTTTTTTATCGCCTATAACTAACAGTTAAGAAGACAGTATATGGAGGATATTGCTGTAATGTGTCCTTTTAATATTACGCTCTTCAACTGAAGTGATCTAGAAGAGATGTGTCTGGCTTATCCACTGTGTATTGGGTATTCATTCACAGTGATTTTAGTGATTTAAGTTAAGCAGCTTTTTAAATAGTAATGATGTCTTTGTCCACTTTTTATTTAGACAATTTAGTCTATTTGAACCATGCCAGTTGGTTAGTTTCCCTACCCTTTTTTTCTCTCTCTTTTTCTGTGTTGACAGCGTTAAGAGATTTTATAGAGTTGTCTGGTTTAACCTTGTTAGAAAAATATTAGTTTTAAAATACAAAATCAACGTGTTTGCATCCTTAAATGTGTTAACGGAAGTCGCTATGTGGGATTTTACATTTTAGAACAAGGCTTTGCAAACTTTTTTTGTCCGCTAAATCCTTTGATCTAAAATGCATATTTGAAATGACCCCGAGATTTTTTTTAAATATTTTAATACTTTAACAATACATTTGCATGTTCACAAATCTGTAATACTGGTTATTGCAATTATTGAATACATTTTAATTTAAAATTGTTTTCATTCATTTTTACCTTTCTTATCAACTCCCAAACCCCCTGTATTTCTTTTGCAAACCCCAGTTTGGGACACCTTGTTTTAGAATATTTCCCCATAAAATACGGAAGAAAATGGTCAGTTATATGGTTTGGTGGTCATCAGTGTTATTTTAGTATCATTAATATACTGTTATGGTTTTGTTAATATTTTGTTAAAGATTTGTTAATTTATTTTTTGTAAATTTATTTTATTTAAATAAAATTTTTAGCAATGTTGATGTGTACTTTTGTCTTTTTATATTCGTTTATTATTAAAAAAAAATCTATAATTTTTATTTATACATTTTTTTTTTTACAAAATAAATGAGTTTGTCACTATGCTTTTAATCCAGTTAGTGCTTTTAGTATTTTAATTTAAAATGAGAAAATATATATATTTTTTATAGCTCAGCACACGCAGCTCAAACAGCAGTGCACAGCATTAATAACTATGATTGGGAATGTCGTGTATATAACATTCTAATGTGAACATTATTATAATAAAACTTTGTGAATTCTTTGTGTTTAGTTGCTGTGTTTCAGCGTGTTGATATGGGAAGAGCGCATCCACAACAGGATCACACATTCTGACTATAGCACGCAATAACTGCGTCATTTTGTACATATATAAGTTGTAATATTATGTTTATGTTGTATTAATATTAATCTCAGGATGCATTTCCTTGAGTTAAATAAGCTGCCAGCAAAACGCTTCAGTTTACCATGTTCATTCAGCTCTTCAGCTTCAGCACGTGCAGCTCAGCGGCTGCTATTTAAAACAGTGGTATTAATTTGTTACTTTTTCAAAATCATTGATACATTATTAATAACAACAACCACTTGTATTTTTCTCTTATTTTCATCAACAATATGGTTTAGTAATTAAAATCATTTAATTATTGTCCGTGCAGAGGCTATTCCGTTTTATTGATCTATGGCGCATTCATTTTGATTCTTTACACGTGTAATGATGTCCAGTGACTTGTTTGCATTATTTATGCATTATGTTATTTATTTGTAAGACTTTGACTAGATTTGGTAATGGGAGAGTAAAATTATTTTTAAACCGTACACCGTTCAAATTAGGCTGCTTAGTGTTTGGGATGTGGCTTTTAATGATGAGACCTTTTTTGTAATCAGGCTCTCAAAAAGTATATAACAATTTGGATATAGAGTTATCGGCCAACATATCGGTTATCGGCTTTCAAAAAGAAAGAATAATCGGTTATCGTATCGGCCAAAATTTTCATATCGGTGAATCCCTAGTCATAAGGGTCAATTTTTTTAAAATTGAGATTTATACAATAAATAAATAAGCTTCCCTTTCATGGGAACTTCGAACTGCGTCCTCTAGGGGTCGCTATCGCATTCATTTTGATTCTTTACACGTGTAATGATGTCCAGTGACTTGTTTGCATTATTTTATTTATTTGTAAGACTTTATGACTAGGTTTGGTAATGGGAGAGTAAAATTATTTTTAAACCGTACACCGTTCAAACTAGGCTGCTTATGTTGAAGTGTTTGGGATGTGGCTTTTAATGATGAGACCTTTTTTGTAATCAGGCTCTCAAAAAGTATATAACAATTTGGATATAGATTTATCGGCCAACATATCGGTTATCGGCTTTCAAAAATAAAGAATTATCGGTATTGGCCAAAATTTTTATATCGGTGCATCCCTAGAAAAAACTTATTCAAATAATTGCACATCGGTGTTTGTCTGTGATAGGTTGCCCAGAAAATTCTGAAAATGAGAATTCTTTCTGATTACAATTTAATCTGATTGCCAGTTCAAGCAAGTGCTTGCAGCTTTTGTGCATCTAAGACTGTCTGAGACTAACTAAAAACCCACATAATTGATTAAATAATTCCGGTGACTGAATGCTCTCTGCCTAAACTGCTGTATTTAGTTAGTGTGATAGCTGTCTTGGTTATTTTAACAGCTATTGACATCGCAAAATCCCAACATGAGTTATTCTAAGCAGATTTGAAACCATTACCTGGAACAACAGATCTGATTCCAGTCTTTCCATCCTGATTTGGGACTTTGTGACTAGGATATGAGACTTGACTCGTGGTTTACTGTAACCGTAAACTCCTCTTTCATTTCAGACCCACGATAAAGCCAGCATCCAGCGACTGACGGAGAGTTTCGTCACCAACCTACAGTCTGACTTCCCCTCCACTGTTAGCACTATCTACAGGTAATTGATCTGAAAACAATGGCTCTGACCCTGTATTCAGTTGGTGTCTTCTGATAATTGCATTTAAATGGACCGGCTTGTCTGACTTGTCTTAATGATTTTTCTCCAGAACTAGTGAGAAACTTCATACGGTAATGCCCCCTCAAAGTCAAACCGCTGAACCTGCCTCCAAATGCCTGCTGTGTCACTGTACTCTCGACACTAAAGTAGGTAGGTTATGCACCTAACAAAGGTCATGTTTATGCAATAACTGTGTCATTTTGTACATATATAAGTTGTATTATTATGTTTATGTTGTATTAATATTAATCTCAGGATGCATTTCCTTGAGTTAAATAAGCTGCCAGCAAAACGCTTCAGTTTACCGTGTTCATTCAGCTCTTCAGCTTCAGCACGCGCAGCTCAACGGCTGCTGTTTAAAACAGTGGTATTAATTTGTTACTTTTTCAAAATCATTGATATATTATTAATAACGACAACCACTTGTATTTTTCTCTTATTATTTTCATCAACAATATGGTTTAGTAATTAAAATCATTTAATTATTGTCCGTGCAGAGGCTATTCCGTTTTATTGATCTATGGCGCGTTCATTTTGATTCTTTACACGTGTAATGATGTCCAGTGACTTGTTTGCATTATTTATGCATTATGTTATTTATTTGTAAGACTTTGACTAGATTTGGTAATGGGAGAGTAAAATTATTTTTAAACCGTACACCGTTCAAACTAGGCTGCTTATGTTGAAGTGTTTGGGATGTGGCTTTTAATGATGAGACCTTTTTGGTAATCAGGCTCTCAAAAAGTATATAACAATTTGGATATAGATTTATCGGCCAACATATCTGTTATCGGCTTTCAAAAATAAAGAATAATCGGTTAGTAACCTAGAAAAAACTTATTCAAATAATTGCACATCGGTGTTTGTCTGTGATAGGTTGCCCAGAAAATTCTGAAAATGAGAATTCTTTCTGATTACAATTTAATCTGATTGCCAGTTCAAGCAAGTGCTTGCAGCTTTTGTGCATCTAAGACTGTCTGAGACTAACTAAAAACCCACATAATTGATTAAATAATTCCGGTGACTGAATGCTCTCTGCCTAAACTGCTGTATTTAGTTAGTGTGATAGCTGTCTTGGTTATTTTAACAGCTATTGACATCGCAAAATCCCAACATGAGTTATTCTAAGCAGATTTGAAACCATTACCTGGAACAACAGATCTGATTCCAGTCTTTCCATCCTGATTTGGGACTTTGTGACTAGGATATGAGACTTGACTCGTGGTTTACTGTAACCGTAAACTCCTCTTTCATTTCAGACCCACGATAAAGCCAGCATCCAGCGACTGACGGAGAGTTTCGTCACCAACCTACAGTCTGACTTCCCCTCCACTGTTAGCACTATCTACAGGTAATTGATCTGAAAACAATGGCTCTGACCCTGTATTCAGTTGGTGTCTTCTGATAATTGCATTTAAATGGACCGGCTTGTCTGACTTGTCTTAATGATTTTTCTCCAGAACTAGTGAGAAACTTCATACGGTAATACCCCCTCAAAGTCAAACCGCTGAACCTGCCTCCAAATGCCTGCTGTGTCTCTGTACTCTCGACACTAAAGTAGGTAGGTTATGCACCTAACAAAGGTCATGTTTATGTCACACGTTGACATGGTCCTCAATTCCTAACTCAGAGTTTGATTTGCAGTTGGCCGATGATCCTTTTTTACCATGTTATTTCTTTCCCAATATTTAAGCATTTTTCCTTAATCGGATATTTCCTTAATCAGTTTTGTTATATTGCATCCAAGGATAAATGGATTGCACAAACTTACAGAGTCACATAGTGGAAATCAAATCTGTCAAAGTCTCAACCACTTAACATTAATGAAATAAAAGTGCCTTGGATGAGTGCATGTTGGAAATAATTGAATTCTCTCTCTCTTGCCTATGCTCATTTGTCTCATAAAGCTCCCGTTTTACATCATTTACTTACATACAAGCTCTGTGGAAATAAATGCATCTAGTGCAGATTGCACTGCAGAGTATGAGTTTTGCCTAAGTGCATAAAATCTATGGGGTAAAATACTCATTAATACACAATAGATGCATTTTTAAAAAGTAAGAGCATTGATGAGATGTGGGTGTCATTTGCTGCCAGATAGGCTGCAGGCACGCTACTGACTGTAAAAGACTAAAAATAGTGCTGTCAGCAGTTATTTCAGAATTTAAACCAACAAAAGCATAACAATTCTAGTAGCATTCCATTCAAAATGTACTTAATGACAGTAAAGTAACAATACAGTGTGTAATTATTCCAGTGAACTAGTTGCCTTTGCTCCTACTATTTTAAAGTCTAGTTTAAAACAGATTACATTAATGCAAAAAGCTACCATGTTCCAAAACCCTTTTGTCTTTGTAGTAGGGTTATGAGTTTTGAATAATACTTAATCAACAAACTTTTTTTTTTTTTTTTGCAGATAAAGCTTCTGCCTTCCATGCTACTTTGGTATCTGAGCAGCTGTCCCAGATTAAACTTCAGGACTCGTCTCTAGATGCACCAGCACAGTCTGCAGAGCAGTGCTGCACAGAGGGTCAGGGTTGTGGGCCTGGAGGCTGCTGTTCCTCAAACAGGTGAGTTTTGTCCTCCATTCGTGCTCTCTTTGAAGTTTTAGCTTAAGCTGAGTCAGTAGTTGGAATGTATTTGATGCTATAAGATTTGATTAGCCTCTTTTTCCATTTTTCTGAATTGTATTTCAGGTTGCCTTCACATCAGGACTTGAAGATGCTCTTGTGTTACAGCTGTAGACTCACTATCAAGGATATGGTGAGTTTGAGAAAAGCTCCGCACTCATGGGTCCAATCATTACGTGTACTGCATTCATCAAATTCATTTTATGATGTGGTAGATGACATGGCATCACAGCAGTTTCACATGTAATGTCATATAAAACAGTATTCCATTTATTTTTATAATTACTGTAATATTCAAATTTGAAATATTATGAGCTTATATAAATTTGGAGACTGTATGGAATATTTGTAAATGTGTTGCATGATAGGACTATTTACATATACATTCTGAATCAACATTATTTTAGGGAAATAAATGTCAACTGTCCACTTATAAATATGTATCAGTAATGTCAATAATAGATGAGCTTACTCTCTCCTACAGGTTGCAACAAACACTCTTCCACCTTACATCATAACAGAGGCAGAAAAACGACAGAAAAGGTGGGAAACGCTGCTCAATAACCTAAATAAATAAATTATTAAAAATAAATAAATGTCGTCATTTACTCACCCTTTCCAAACCAGAATGATTTTCCTCCTCCTATGGAAGACCACTTAAGACTCCACTTAAGACTTCAAATTTCATTCTGTTGTGACACAAAGACCTAACCTCATCGGATGAGAATACAAACACTTAAACTGAATTTAGCTAAATAATGATTGTCTTCTGTAGATCTGCTAATTGAACTTGTTTCATAATTGATGAACTTTGCAACATTGACACTGTTATTTAACTAAATTGAGTCAACGTTGAACTGAACAATGACGGTTTTCTTCTGTAGAGCTGCTTTACAGCTGAACTTGAAGTCCTGTCATAATTGATGAACTGTGCACCATTGACACTACCAGTTATTGTCCTGTTTATGACTGTGAAGCTATTTTGAAACAACCTTCTGCTAAATATCACTGGAGTTGTAGCTTTTTGTTGAGCTTGTACCTGTTCTGTGTATATGAGACTTACCCGTTTCTTTCCACAGATCACGGATGAAGATGGAAATCAGCGAGTACCTTTTGGAGGACGATGAGGAAGATGGAGACTAGCAGACATTTGGTTCAGACAAAGTGATTAACAACTTTCTCTATAGGACTGTATCTAGGGTTAGCCTTGCTAATGCATGGTTTCACCCTATTCAAAACCAAATCGTAAAAGTATTCCATAGTAATTATTTCATTTGCAAGTCAATAAAAAGTCATTTGTGAATACGCCTGCCGAAATTTAAATATAACTTTGTCTGCATTTAATAATAATTCAGACATAACACAATCATTAATAGTAATTTATTTGTGCAGAAGGGCAACATTCTTAAACTCGTAATTTAGCAAACTGCTACACAGCAAGGAATTTTACAGGCTCACATTTGATTTCTGAAGAAGGAAGAAAAAAGCAAAGAGCACTTGTTTTATGCCCTTTGCATAATCATACAGTGGAAATGATTATTCCAGCCCCTACAGATGAAATTTGGCACACTCATTACACAATGTGTGCACTTAAGACATATACAATTACACAATGTTCTAATAACCCTAATTGCTAAGCACAGCATTCCAGCACTTAGCGAATGGAAGTGTGGCGCTTTCCATTCAAAACAACAACGTAGCTGTCAGATTCGAATTACTTGTCTTTTTTATGAGGAAAAATGACTTCAAGTGTTTGATCAGAAATGGTAAAACCAGAAACAAAATACTAAATGGCTCTCATCCTAAGACACTTTGGCTTGTAAACACTTTTGCTGTAGTAACAGAACAAAAACAAAGTTAAAATGAGTGAAAATCTCACAAAACCATGTCTGGGTTATATTTCACCCCAAAGTCACAAGAACTTACAAGCACTAGAAAGAAAATGAAGCCTACTTATGTGATCGTTACAGTTATTATAAATTATTTTTTGCCTGACAATTTCCATGCCAATGAAGTACTCAAAATATTTCAGTTGTGGAATATTTATACATTATGATATCACGATGAGTATTAGTTGGGCTCGACTTTGATCATTTCAGTATATTACTGTATTATAGTAATAAGAATCATTGAAAAAAAAAATCCAGATTATATTATAGAAATCAGTCGATTGTCATAAACTCTGCAAAATTGCAATAGTGCTAAGACTCCCTATTCAAACAAATCTTAAAGGGAAAGTGCACTGAAAAAAATGTCAATTCTGTCACGATTTACTCAACCTTATGTTGTTCCAAATCTACTGAACACAATGTTTTTGAAGAATGCTGGTAACCAAATGGTTTCTGGAACCCATTGACAATTGATTGCATTTTTTCCCCTGTCCATACTATGGAAGTCAGTGGGGACGAGCAACCGTTTGGTAACATACATTTTTAAAATACCTTTTTGTTCAACAGAAGAAAGAAACTCAGACAGGTTTGGAACAACTTGAAGGTGAGTAAATGATGACAGAAATTTAATTTGAGTGAATAGTCCTAAAATATAATTTCCTGTTATTTTGGGATGAAGTATAACCCAGACATGGTTTTGCGAGATTCACTCTAATAGTGTTTGGATTTGCACTTTGAAGGTCCTACCATTCTGCGCCCACTGGTCAATTGGACACTGGGTTAGCGTCTGAACCACTCACATTGAGTCCCTCCGAGAGAGGCTGATTTTCAAGCTTGCTGACAAAACTAAACACAGTCCAGGCAGAATAACGCAGAGGCTTAACCTGACCCCAGTTATCCAACCTCTGAGTGCAAAGAAGCCAACAACATCCGTAGCATTGGATAAATGGCTATAGACTCATTGTTCATGAGACATTGAATCATCCAACTTATACAAGCTCACAAGAGCAGTAAAGCACCACTGGTTCTAGCTGGCCTTGAGGCCGAAGTGGACATCATGATGCTGCACCAGCTACAAAACAGTTTCAGTCTTCATTCTTTTCTCTAGTCCACTTGATCATGGTCTCTGGAGAGCGATAGAGGAAGATGAGTTTGGAGTAAATCTCTTCCTCCAGCTCCAGTTCTCCGGTTTCCCGCACCAGGAAAATGTCCATGCATAGTTTGAGGATGCGGTCCACACATGGCAGTTCTTCAAACATGATGGAGTGAGAGATCTCGCTGAAAAAGCCTCGCACAAACTTGCCAATGACCAGAACCACCGACACGTAAAGACCCATGATCCTGGAGGAGGAGGAGAGACGTGTTTAGAGGAATATTCTGAAACCTATAACACTGACACAATCAAGAAATCAAATGTTTTCCAATCGAGTTGACAGTGAATACAGTAAAAGCCTGCACTATATCTCATGAAAGGAATGAATGCTGTGTACCCATATCCTGCTAGAAAGCCCAAACTTGGAGGGCTAACTTTGTCGTTAAAGACGACCATAGGTAGAACACCACAGGACTCCCTGCAGTCCGCAATGCTGATGTCCCACCACTCTTGAGCTCCAGTGGTATTCACAGAGGCTTCTCTCATCAGTGACAAAGTCACATCTTGATATCCCTCCTCATCACCTGCCAGGACAAAATAAGTTTTATATATAGAGATTACTGTAAATACTACAAAACGATATTTTAAATAAATGTTCCATGTTGATTCCACCCTGTTATGCCACATTCTGCCATTAATCAATCGATCCATCCATTATAAAATTTATATGACAGACCTTGGAATATTTGGATATTTAAGTTTTGATGTACATTTGAAGTTGGATGTAAATATGACGTTACACAGTATAAATTAATGTTCGTTATGTCTCAAACAGGGTGGAAATCCCTCACAAATCATTAGTGAAATTTACTGAGAATGTATTGTGCTTGACTAAAAAGATCTTTGAATGCTTTTTACCGTCATAAAGCTGGCTAACTGGTTTTGCTTCAGCTCCAGTAGGTGCTCTGATGTAGTTAGGAAACATGTGCGGCACATGTCTACAAGAAAATTACAGAGATGATCACAATCAGAGTGAGTCCAAAAACAAGGCCATAAGCATGTCTTGAACACTGGGATTAAAGGAACACTCCACTATTTTTGAAAATAGGCTAATTTTCCAACTCCCCTTGAGTTAAACAGTTGAGCTTTAACGTTTTAGAATCCATTCAGCCGATCTCCGGGTCTGGAGGTAGTACTTTTAGCTGTAGCTTAGCATAGATCATTGAATCTGATTAGACCGTTAGCATCTCGCTCAAAAATGACCAAAGAGTTTCTATATTTTTCCTATTTAAAACTTGACTCTTCTGTAGTTACATCGTGTACTAAGACCGACGGAAAATGAAAAGTAGGCAGGCACAATGATATTACACAGCGCCTGAAAATAGTCCCCAGCACGCTCCCTGTGCAAGCAGGTGACAGTAAAGTAACAATACAGTGTGTAATTATTCCAGTGAACTAGTTGCCTTTGCTCCTACTATTTTAAAGTCTAGTTTAAAACAGATTACATTAATGCAAAAAGCTACCATGTTCCAAAACCCTTTTGTCTTTGTAGTAGGGTTATGAGTTTTGAATAATACTTAATCAACAAACTTTTTTTTTTTTTTTTGCAGATAAAGCTTCTGCCTTCCATGCTACTTTGGTATCGGAGCAGCTGTCCCAGATTAAACTTCAGGACTCGTCTCTAGATGCACCAGCACAGTCTGCAGAGCAGTGCTGCACAGAGGGTCAGGGTTGTGGGCCTGGAGGCTGCTGTTCCTCAAACAGGTGAGTTTTGTCCTCCATTTGTGCTCTCTTTGAAGTTTTAGCTTAAGCTGAGTCAGTAGTTGGAATGTATTTGATGCTATAAGATTTGATTAGCCTCTTTTTCCATTTTTCTGAATTGTATTTCAGGTTGCCTTCACATCAGGACTTGAAGATGCTCTTGTGTTACAGCTGTAGACTCACTATCAAGGACATGGTGAGTTTGAGAAAAGCTCCGCACTCATGGGTCCAATCATTACGTGTACTGCATTCATCAAATTCATTTTGTTTGATCTATGCTAAGCTACAGCTAAAAGTGCTACCTCCAGACCCGGAGATCGGCTGAATGGATTCGAAAACGGTAAAACTCAACTGTTTAACTCTAGGGGAGTTGGAAAATGAGCCTATTTTCAAAAATAGTGGAGTGTTCCTTTAAGAAACAGAATGGTGAACTATGCACTTTTATTTGTATGCCTAATATGTTGAAAATACAAAACGTTACTTGTCTTCTTACATTCAGTTAGTAATTACATGAATCACATAAATTTATCATAATTAAAATTTAAAATGCCCATAAAGTTGAGTAGTTTGCATCACTGCCGGTCATTTAACATTTCTATCATAAAACAGTTGTCAAATATTTTAATTCACCCAAAAATGACAATTCTGTCATTAATTACTCACCCTCATGTCGTTCCAAACCCGTAAGACCTACGTTCATTCTCGGAACACAAATTAAGATATATTTGATGGAATCTGAGTGCTCTCTGACCCTCCGTAGACAGCAAGTATATTATCATTATTAACGCACAGAAACGTAGCAAGGACATCAGTAAAATAGTCCATGTGACATCAGGGGTTCAACCGTAATTTTACGAAGCTACAAGAATATTTTTTGTGCGCAAAGAAAACGATAATTTATTCAGCAATTCTTCTCCCTGAGTTACCGTCTTCCACCATTTTGGAGAGTACGCCAGAACGTAACCAGCGTTGTTTGTTCAGCATGCGCGCGCTGTCTCCTGAACATAAACAACACTGATTAGTTCTGGGGTACTCTCCAAAATGGTGGAAGACGGAGAAGAATTGTTGAATAAAGACATTATTTTTTGTTTTCTTTGCGCACAAAATATTCTCGTAGCCTCGTAAAATTACGGTTGAACCCCTGATGTCACATGGACTATTTTACTGATGTCCTTGCTACGTTTCTGTGCGTTGATCGTGGTAACATTCTTGCTGACTATGGAGGCTCAGAGAGCTCTCAGATTCCATCAAAAACACATTAATTTGTGTTCCAAAATTAACTGAGGTCTTACAGGTTTGGAATGACATGAGGGTGAGTAATTAAAAAAAATTCAGCCATTTCTAAATATTCAGGGGGATTTCTCCCCCTCGGTGTCTATGGTGTTTATGGCCCTGTGTAAAATAGACACTTGCTAAATAAGTGTAAGGGCCCATTCATACCAAAGACAATAACTTTATATTTTTAATAATCAATCTAATTGTATGAGATTCAGAAAGTCCACACTAAGTAATTACTGCATAGAGAAACAATACCATTGAAATCACTTTCAGAGTGTTTTTTTTCTTCTTCTTTCTAGCCGATTAATGATAAAAACATTGACAGCCAATCAGAATCTAGAATCCACTTGTCTTAAAAGAGCTTGAGCATTTAAAGCAATAGAACTTCAGGGTGTGCTTATAATCAAAAATAATCGTCAGTAACACTTTCTATGAAGCCCATATTCATAATCAATTATAAGGGTATTATAATGAATGCATAATGCATTATAAAAAACCTTATGTTGTATCATCTCAAGAATAATCATAACAATTATAATACATTATAATACTTATGTATTTGTAGTTATAACTTTTAAGAGTATGATTATTTATAACACAATGAACACCATATTAAATCTACTTCATATATATTGGACTATATCATATCTTGACATTGTTTATTTAAGATCTGCACAATGTATATATATATTAAAATGAGAAATATAATCCATTGCATCTTAAGTTGATGCAACGTGTTCATTGTGTGTTATAAATCATCATACTCTTAAAAGCTATAACCGCAAACAAGTAAATATAATACATTAAAATTGTTCTTATGAATATTCATGAGATGATGCAACATATTGTAAGGTTTTTTATAATGCATTGTGCATTCATCAAATGTATTATAAATACACCTTGCACATAGAAAGTGTTACCACATGCATATTACTGGCATTTATAATTTATTAGTACTTATAAAGCACATATTAATGCCTTATTCTGCATGACCATATTTTAGATTCCTTAATCCTACAACAACTTCCTTACTATTAATAAGCAGCAAATTAAGAGTTTATTGAGGCAAAAGTTGTATTTAATTGTTAGTTGTATTTAATAGTGAGAATTGGTCCCCAAACTAAAATGTAATCAGTTATTCTTATAGTTTTCTTTCTTTTTAGTTATTTTTGGTGTGAATAGGCCTTAACAATTGGTTTTGGTGTTAGTGCATAAAATTTGAAATGAACTGCAACCAAGATCTATCATCACTTGTGCACCTCACAATTTTTTTTCTGTAAGAATTTTTTTGTTTTGTTTTACACATGAGATGTGTATCTAGGATAACTGAGACTTTTTCTCCCATGTAGTCACAAAACTTACACAGGATCCTTCCGGGTGCCTAAAAGCAGCGAGGCCAGGTCCGCTCTGACTGGGTTCTTCGGTGACAAACTTATGGAGTGCTTGTCAAAAGTATGTTCCACTGTCCCACCTTTCCCCAGGTCCCTTTCAGACACAAACACATTATGAGCATGAGGTCCTGTACTCCCAACAGAAGCGAGTTTAATTCAAAACCACTGTCCTTCTCCATCAAACTGACCTTTGGAAGTTCCAATCAAGACGGAGGGTCATGTCACCTGTGCTGCCAAGCAGTTCCTTTATTAGCTCCTGTCTGCTCGGTGGGCTGATCCGCCACACTGACCCTGAGCTGCCCTCAATGTTGGCTGTGACTATGTCTTCATAGCTGTACATGGTAATAAACTGCATGGCCACCTGTGGACACATTACAGTATTGGACACTAATGGAAAAGCCGACTGTTCTTTCTAGCAGAGGTCGGTACGGATGTTATCGTATCCTCTCCCTCAGCAAAAACCCAATATAATTTTTCAATTGGCTTTTAGATTATTGAAGAAAATCTCTCTGTGACCAACGAAACTTTGATTCTTTCTTTTTGTTCATCATGAAATTTTACAAATGAACAAAGTATATGAATTTTGAAGCCTAAATAAAATTGCCAGAAGTAAAAAAAAAAAAAAAACTTAATGTAGACTATAAACCACAGTTGCATGACTTAAATGTGTCCACCATTAAAGGGTTACTCCACCCCAAAATTAAAATTGTCATTAATCACTTTCCCCCAAGTCGTTCCAAACCCGTAAAGGCTTTGTTCGTCTTCGGAACACAATGTAAGATATTTTGGATGAAAACCGGGAGGCTTGTGACTGTCCCATTGACTGCCAAGTAAATTACACTGTCAAGGTCCAGAAAAGTATAAAAGACATCGTCAGAATAGTCCATCTGCCATCAGTAGTTCATCCGTAACGTTATGAAGCGACGAGAATACTTTTTGTACGTGAAGAAAACAAAAATAACGACTTTATTCAATAATTCGTCTCCTCTGTGTCTCTCCGCATCACCGTAGCGCCATTTTGGAGAATATCTGCTGAACGCAAGCAGCGTACGCTATTGTGTCAGCCGCGACACAAGGATACGTTTTCTACGTGTATTTACGATTTGATTTGAACGAAAACAGCGCATCCGTGCAGCGTGGCTGACACAGAAGAGCATACGCTGCTTGCGTTCAGCGGATATTCTCCAAAATGGCG